AATCTACTGGTGGTTTGCAGTCCCGGGTTGAAATTTGAAGTTACACCAATTGTGCGGTGAATGTAATCATCAAATCACGACCACAGCCACAGGAGAGAGTTGCTAATTCAATTACCGCCACCAAATATATGCCTCCCTTACACTAGAAATGGGAATTAGAAACTGCTCCTGGCACTTCGTGAAATTGGCTATAATGTGTACTTAATTCAGTGCCACCACTCGCGGTCGTAAGAGACTGTGAGAATCTCTGACTGCACATAACTCATCATGTCCTGCCGCAGATTTTAGGGAAACACTATCAAGTATGCAATTTGCAACTTGATTACAGTGGAAAAGATAAACTCAATAACGCTTTGGGTACATTTAATCAGTTAGTTGATATAAAAGTTAATAGTAAAAGCTCTTAGAAAATATGAAAGTTTGTTTTGGTACTAGATTATTCAAGAATACACAAACATGTTGAAAGAAATAGGAAAATGTTCTTTCTAATTATCAAATTCAATAATATATAAAAAATGTATACAGTAAATAAGATTACGAGATACGCTACGGATATTAAATATAACATTATGAGAATACGTTTTGGACTATATCTGGCGAGTTTCTTATGAGACTTGTAAAGTTCATCAATAATATGTCAGAGCATACCTTCAAAATGTTTGCTAGAAAACATCGGTGTTTATCGATATACGTGAAATGCGAGCAGTTATCGATAAAATGAAATAATCTGCATCTGCAGAGGGTAAACGATAACTTATGTTCCAAATTTGATGTCTGTAATTCGACATGAGTTCGGCGTGTTCAAACAGACAGACAGACGGACTATCGGTTATCAACTTGGCTGTGGATGCTGATTATAAATATATATACTTCAAGGGGACGTTGTTTTTTCTTTTGCCTCTTAGCTGCTATTGTACAAATTGTTTATTTTGAACGATTTGAACAAACGTTAATTTGCACGCATAGGCTTAATGTAACTTATAACACCCGAAATGTGTAGCACAGTGTAGCGAATTGTGGCAGTGAAATGCAAATGCAGAGTCATGAGAGTGCCTGCCACTGCTAATAATGGCCATTACCATTATGTTAACGGGGCGAACTGTGTGGGGGAGCTCGATAAATATTTCAGACAGGCATTCAGCTTACTTTTGGGAAGAGTTGTGGGTGGAGTGGCGGTGGGAAAGGATGTAAATAAGGTTTGAGTTTCGGTTACACACAAACACACTCGCACTGATATGCATTTCTCATGATGCAAAATTTTGTTCGCTTGACATTTTGACATTTGGCAGCTGGCGCCAAATTAACACGACAGCAGTATGTGCGTTGGTGGGGCACTGGGACGGGGAGGGCAGAAATGGGTTGGCAACTGTCGCTGAAAGATTAAGCAATGCTCATCAACTAAACCAAATAGTGGCAGTCACTTTCTGTGTGCTAAGAGGGGGAACCAAGGGGAGTCTGCTAACTGCAACTACAGCTGCAACTAGACCCACTAATTTAACACGTACAACGCATGTTTTTGCTGGTAATTTGACAGGCAGTGGATGTGGAAGTGGGCGTGGCAGTGGGCGTGGCAGTGGGCGCGGCAGTGGGGAGACCATGCGTAAGCAATGCAGTCATGTGTTAAATTCTCCGGACATAATGACTTAATTGAAAGATAGGCAGCTCGCCTAAGCTTGCACTCAATTGCAATGAGTAAATATATGTTAAGAGATGCTGAGGTTTTTGAAAAATTATCTTGGCAATTTGCTTAGTCAAGATGTGCAGCTCATTTTGCATAGAATTTCAATAAACTAATGCGTAGTTCTTACCTTGATGAAATTAGGTCGAAAATAATTGGCACTAGGGCCAAGGGATGTATATAGTGATTTTGGGTGGGCGAGAACAACAATAGATAATGCTAGTGGCATATATGTATGCATGCACAACAAAGGGCAGGCATAAGGAAACAACCCAGAGGCAAGCACAATAGATTGCTCCAAACCGACAAACAAGAGCAGCAACAACGACTTGTAGATGTGCAAGATTTATTGTTGGCAGGCAAGAGCAGTAATAAATCGAAGTCAAGCAGACACTTTGCGGCTTCTTTTCGCATTAAAAGATAAAAAATCAATCTACTAAACAGATGACAAAAAAATAAAACAAAAGTATGGCATACTTTGCGGCGCTGGCAGGATTAGCCCATCATCAGCTAATCAAAACTTCATTCAAAGCATTTGAACATTCAAGTTGAGCATTTAGCGTGTGATAAAAGCCTTAAGCTAAATATTAGATGGAATAAATAGGAATTATGGGAGCTCAGTGGGGGACAAGTAAGCAACTATATAAAAAGATTACAATTATGAGCGGAGGTTAACAAATTTTATTACACTCTGAAAAGTGCATAACAGACAGAAGGAAGCATCTTCGACCCCAAAAGGTACATATATTCTTGATCAAGATCCGTCTGTGCGAGCTTTGATCCCGAAACTATATCAAGAACGCTGTTCAATAACAGCCTTGAACATTTGTTAAAGTAATAAACAAAATGTTATAGTGTCAAAATTTTGAGAACCACATAGGGAATAATGTTGCTAATGTTAAATTCGTTGTTTCAATTTTCATTGTAGAGCTTTAATACAACTGAAACTCACTTGAATTCCCCTAGTCAGACACTTGAAGCACTCCAAATGCGGCAACACAAAGCCGTTGATTTGCTTTCACATCTAAACCAGACCTGCAAACAATCTCAATCTCAACTCGAGTAAACTTAAATCAACTTGACAGCACAACTGTCTCTCTCTCAATCTTTGCCATAAGTTGACTTCTGGCTGTGCACCTCTGCTAAATCTTTGTCATAGTTGGCGACCATCTGTGCATGCGAGTGGCTCCTAACTTTATTCACATTTCTTTCGGTTACCCACTCACTTGCACTCATAAATCAGTCGAGTCCTTCAAATAGTCAAGCATCAGTATCCCCACAAAAGAATTGTTCTGGCTGTCAACATGACATATGCGCAATGTGCCAACATTTCAGCTGAGAACTTAATTTAAAGATACTTTCACAGACATAAGGCCAAATGTGTGGCTAAATTGGTGGAGTTCGGCTCTTTCGGCAAACAATGCCCAAACAACAATTTGGTTAAGCCCGACTCGACCCAGCTCCCATTTCAATTAAGCTGCATCCTTTGGAGTATTTTTCAGACAATTAGGTTGTGGTATGAATTATGTCTTATAAGTAAATTATGGTTGGGTCTGGTCATAAAATAATTTAAAATAATAGCCTCAGCAAAGCAAAAGAGAAAGAATAAAGTTAAAAAGAAGAAAAAAAAACGTGAGCTGCATGTGTGTAGTTAACTATTATGGCAAAGCCTGGACCCAGCTTATGCTATGAAACTTTTGTGCTTCATTTCCGTTTCCGTCTGCAGACACGCACACATGCAGCCAAGTCAAAGGCTAAGAAGAGTGAGCGAGCGAGATGTGAATATAAAAGTACATGCATAATGGCAGTCGTGCCGAAAGGCAAAACTTTATGCCCAAACACAATGCTTGGGAGTAGGGACGGTCGCGGTGTGTGTATGGAAGTGGGTGTGTGTGTGGGGGCGTGGCAAACTGCAGCTCGTTTGTTTTGACTTTCAATTGGAGAGCTGTTGCTTCTGGCTGCTAACGGCTGCTCGCTGCCTGCCTGCCTGCTTGCCTGCCTGCCATGCCCGACAACCTGCCCGGAATTTCTCTTGCATCCTGCTTGCTCCTTGCTGTCAGCTGGTGCTGGTGCTGGTGCTTGTGCTGTGGCTCCTTGGTGAACTTTGGCCATTTGTTTGGTGCCTTTTGGAAACATAATAAAGACGGCACTGGGCACATAATGCATTTTGCTTGTTTACATAAATATTTGCACAATATGGAAAAGAGAAGCGAAAAAGGCAGCAGCGACAGAAGGCTCCCCCACAATGAAAAATAAAAATGTATCCTAAAATCAATATGCACACGATTTTCTAAAGAATTTGATCACACAGTGCACCAGTGCCTTAGAAAATCAGCCAATATATTGGCTACATATTTAATATTTAACGTTTCCACTCAGGTATTCATGTTTCTTGTTGTAAAGATTTTGTTGAGGTTGTACCCTAAAATCTTCGCACTCTTCACTCACGTTGCCATCTCCAACGTTTTTCTCAGCTTGTATATTCCAGTATCGTTTCGTTTGCTTGTCTTTTATTTTATTCATCCTTTCGTTTTTGCTTCTTATCAATTGCAATCTCTGGTCTTGTTTACTTCTTGCCTTACATTGTTGTCTGGCCAGAGATGGGTTCAAGTTATTCTCTGCATATTTGTTTAGCCCCAGAGCCAATGTCCTTTTGCCCCTTATGTCGTAGGTCACTTTAGATATTTATCTAACATTTTTACAGAAGTTTTTATGTGACAGCAAGAACAACAATAACAACTACAATGAGCATAAAATGGGAAAAGTTTCATTTAGCTTGATTAGCCAACCAGGCAAATGAGACATGGAAAGCGACAGAACAGAAAGTAGGAGTAGCTCCCTGGAGATCTGCCAGTTGACAGATGGAAAATATTTTAAATAAATAAAATAGCAAAATAGCAAATGCCAAATGGTAAAGTTAAAGTGAAAGTTGTTTTAAATAAATTTCGAAATTGACATGCAAATAACTTGAAGCCATTAATTGTTGAAAACTTTTTGAATAACTTTTGCGCTTGTGGACAGCAATCAGCTGTGAGCTAAATTGCAAGGCTGATACTTAGACATTCGAAAAAGCTAAATTATTGTAAAATATTCACCATGTATATTATAAATATTTCTTGTTTTTAAATATAAATAATTTATAATACATTTAATTTAATTTACATTTTTCTTAATTTTTGTATTTTTTGTGTCGATTGACTTTAGTTAACATTACATTAAATAAATAAATAAAAATAAATACATTTTGAGGTTTAATCCTCAGTATTTCATTTACATAAGATATACTCTTAAATACGAATGTTTTATTGTTTTCCCATTGCAGCATCTGCTACTCAGAAGTGAATCCACAGAAACAAAGAACAAAAAACTGAACATATCTCTTGTCCAAGGTAAGTCGAGCAAACATTTCATGTGCCAGACAACAGCTTTTAGCTGTTATTTATTTTGTAAATGACAGTGGCAGTAACAGTTTTAATGACATTTATGACTATTAAAGTCTTAGAGTACATCATAAAATTAACTTTGTAAATTTACAACTTGCCAAACTTTGTCAAATTTAATACGATGCTTATGAGGCTTCAAATTTTGCATTAAGACTAATGCCCTCGTAATTGTTTATTCATTTATTTAATTTTTAAATTAAATTAAATGGGTGCTTTCGAAGAAATTAGTAAGAAATACTTTGAGCTATTTGATGGTGAGTAAGCTTTAGTCTCTTCTTGCTTATGCTGCAGAGGTTAATATCTGCAATTGAGAGACGATCTCCCCTCGGCATCCCCTTTCGCAATTACCCTGTCGGTGCCTGGGGTTACACAAAGCATAAGGAACCATGTCAACTGTGTAAGTCGCAGCACTTTCGATGCTCCACCACAGTGAGAATGAGATAGAGCAGAAAGAAAAGCGTACGAAGATAAACGGAAGAGTGCACAGCTCAAAGTCATTCGCACTGTTTGGTTTCCACATCCGCAGTTCCAATTACATTATGTGGTCGCCAAGCAAGAATGTGCCTAAGGAATGCAACTCTGTGCAGTACTGCAATCTTGCATATCCGTCTTTTCAATTTGCGTGGAAAGCAGCCTTTTAAGGCTGCTTTATAAATCCGAGTCAGTTCCAATGATAAAATTACGCAAACTGTCGGATTTAAATCCGGGGATGCGGCTGATGAGAGATGCGAAATGTTTGTGTTTGTCATAACAAACATAAAATTGCAACTTGTGCCACTTTAGTTGCATGTTGCGCATATGCCGCGTTTGCCAGCCTGCAGCAGTGCTTACAGCTGTCTATTTGTTCGAGTGCCTCTGTGCCTTTATTTGCCCCAAGAAGCAGCTCAAACCACATCCCCACATCTGCAGTCTTCAACTCGCACTGCATCTTGCCCTCTGCGACCCTTCGTCCTCAGAGCCGCCGCCTTGAACGAAAAATGCAATTCAAGCAATTTTCAATTTTCGTTGTTCGTTGCCGTTCTGCCCCACAGGCTCTGGCTGGCTGTATATAGCCAGGCAGAACCATTACTTGTATATATCCCTCCCCCCATCCTCTCGAAGCTCCGAAGTCCCTCGCCCTGTAAGCCTGCTTTACATCAAATTGAAAAAGCAAATTTGTCGCGAAAAATTGTCATCATTCCGGAGGTCTACTGCCAATTTGTTGTTTTCTTACAATTTCGCCCCCTTTCCAGTTGGTCGGTGCACATTGTAGTTGGCGTTAGCTCCCTTGTAACCTCTCCCCTGACTCCGCCCTCTACCACTTACCCCCTCTCTCCCCCTCGCTCACCCTGCCCACTCGCTGGCAGCACTTTTATTACTTAAGCAGCGCTTTGCAATGCGTTAAAATCGTGCGAAAACTTTTCGCGCAAGATTTTATTTTTTTCTTACTTGTTAGCCCCATTCATTTCGTCTATCTATAAAATACTCAATTCTCTCTCTCTCTCTCTCTCTCTCTCTCTCTCTCTCTCTCTCTCTCTCTCTCTCTCTCTCTTGCAAACTTGAAACTTTCACTGCTAAGCTCAAAATTAAGGCATTAATGTCGGTTTTATGGGATATTCTAAATTGGTTTCTCTTTCGCTTAAAATTGCCTAAAGACTTTCTAGCAGTTAGTTAGCAGTTTTGGCTCAAAAAGTATTTAAAGACCAGCAAACATTTTGCTCAAATAACAGTAACCGTAAACATCTCGTTCATGTCTCTCGCTATCTCTCTCTCTCTTCTTCCTTTTACTTTTTCGATTTTAACCTTGTCAGCTGCTGCAACTCATTGCCAAACGGATACTAAAAGTGGTTAGTTGTTAGATATGGAAGAAGTGAAAAAGCTTAGCAAAAATAGTCATGTCATTATTTTTCAGAAAATTACTTCGCTCATGAAATGAAATTCGATTGAAATCATTCGGTGCTTATAATCCTTAACGAGGATATACGAATTTTCGTAATTGAATGCAAACCAATTCTCTTAGAGAGTATTTCAAAGAGCGATCATTTTTATAGCTTTTCAGCTACGTCTACAATAGAGAAATCTGATTTGCGTATGTTCTCGATTTCCAGCCAGATATGAGGAGCATTAAATAATGTTGTTTGTAATGGCAAGAAAAAAAAGGAACATAAACTATACCCAGTCTAGTCTTTCGCATTTTTGCACACATTACTTCCTCAGCCTCTTCTTAAGGCCGAAAACAAAAAGCAATTTACACTGAGAGATCTCGTCTAGGTCGGCTGACGAGGCAACGGTGCACGGGCGTTTACTGCGCAAACAATGCAGCGGCAACTACAATAATTACAAAGAGTCGAACTCTTAAGTATTTCGAATTAAAAAAAAAAAAACAAAAAACCATTACGAATGAAAATCTCATAAAGCACGTACTAAAGCAGAAAAATCACAGAAAGCTGAGAAAGAAACTACAAGGCTGAAAGTACTGTTAAGTTGCATAAGTAATCAAGCCTTGAGATATCCTGTTACCAAGAAATATTATATTAAATAAAGTTAGCATTGATTCTTAGCAAAGTGATATTTTATCATTATTATCGCTTGTTTGTTTTGTTTTTCGTCAAAAATAACTTGCGAATTTTTTGGAATTTTGATTCAGTGTGTAAGAAAATATTTCTTTGGTTGTTAACAAATATGTTTCATTTATATGTTTTTAAAACTGGATTCTTCCATGAATATCCACATTTAATCACTGAAATACATTCAACATTTTAGACCTGATTTAAGCGATCATCTTTATTACTATTGTATAGGATATTTATGGGAAAATATGAATCAGCTTAGATTATACTGATCAAGTGCATTATTGGAGTAGCAACTATCGTGAAGTAATTAGTTAGTTAACTGTAAGAGTTGTTCCACAATTCTGCAACTGATTTGAGATGTGGCACAATGGACTCTTGGCTCTCTTTGATGGCCAATCAATCTTGCGGGGCCAGTTGCAACTTGGCCAACTGGCAGTCAAATCAAACCGGCCTGGCCATGTCCCTGTTTCATGTCCCTGCTCCATGCTCGTGTCTTTGTCTACATGTTTCGCCGGCTTCTACTTCATCTTCATTCATTTCGACAATTGCCTCGTCGTTGGCTTTTCCCAGTTTCTATTGGTTTTTTTTTTTTTAATGACTGCGATGGCGACAATTGCAAATATTTTGCAATTTCCCTTTTTGTTAGTTGACCATTTCTCTTTTTGTATTTGGTTGTGCGCTGCTGCTTCTACAGATTCTGCTCTTTGCCTTCTCGCTTTGCATTTCTGCCTGAAGATGAGCTGTGGAAAGGGTTTCTTCGCTGTTTGCATGTTTGTTTCGCCTGAAAGGAACATGTAAGAGGAGAGTGGTTGTGGGTGGTGGTGGCTTGTCATGCAAGAATGCCGTTGCCGTTGCCTGCAGCGTTTAAAATTTGTAGCAACAGTCCTTGCTCCGTCTGCCTGCCTTCCTTCCCCAATCTGTGTTTCTCGACAACGAAGATTGATCACAGTTGGTGCAAGTTGAGCGCCGTTTTTTCAGCCCCAAACTGCAATTTTTATATTTTTGGCACTTTCTGAGCGACCTTCTGCTGTCCGCTGCCAACCGTTGCCTCCATGTCTGTCGTTTAATATGAAAAATTGAGCCAAATATTTGCGAAGCACGACAAAAGATGCAGCAAATGGTAAAAGTGTTGTCCGCTCTAATTGCAAGAATTTGTCAGCATTGTTAAAGAGCTTATAAATTAATAGTTAGAACAAATACTCAGCCAAGGGAGCGCTGTAAAAAAGAAATAGTGTAGTTAAATGATGAATGAATTATAAGCAAAAGTGACCATTTTAAAACTAAAAGCTTTTAACTAAATTATTACTTAAATCATTTTTAAATTCACTTGCTGAAAGCATATTACAAGAGCTACTCTCATGATTTTAGTTGAATTCTTTTCAATTCAGAATCAAATTTTTATTTCAACTTTTATTCCTAAAGCATTTAAACACAGACTTATGCCTTACAAAAAATAAATGAATTTTACATATGAAAATAACATATTTAATTCATAACTTTTCCAAAAGAATTAGGCTACGTAAATACTCAACACAATTTCTTTGCGCAAATTGATTTTTCAGCTACAAGCATCAAGTGAATTGCTCAAATAAATAATACATATTTGTGTGCATATATTAGTAGTTATTCAATTTACTGCTGCTACACAAAATTTGTGTTAGGATGTAATCTGAAATATATTATTTAACTGGTGTTACCACAGTTCTTGGATTTATTGAATGTTATTCTGATTATATATCAATCAATTCAGCAAATTGCGAAAGCTTTTACATCGCTGCACAGTATTGCGAATACGCCATGTTGAAGACATTTATCAAGCAGAGTGAAAGAGATAGAGAAAGGCGCAACAATCTGTAAGCTGACAAAAAACAGAAAACATTTTTACAGCTATAGCAACCACAAAAAGAACACAAGCACATTGGCCACTTTGTTTGTTGTCGGTGCTTCGAGCCCGTTCAAATTGCCGTGTTGCTGCCGTTGTCATTCTACAACTGCCACAACTACAGTGTGGCAAAAGCCCCAATGAGTGGGCGGCCAACTGTTGCACACTCGACCATTGACTAACGGTCTCTTACACTGACTCTCCTCCGCCCTGACGGCTACTCTCTAGCCGATGTGCCTCCTTCTGTGCTCTGTGCCCCCTGCTCTCCTTGCCCTTTACTCAGCTTGGCCCTATGCCTGATGCTTTAACCTTAAGTGCCGTTGGCATAGTTTTAGCAACTGTCTGACGACGACGCTCCCAAGGCGTCTGCCACTATTTATAGCCGCTTCACCTCGCCCACATTTTGTTACCTTATTGCACTAACGCTCAAAAGCGTGCTACAGTTTAGATACGCCACAAAACAAACTTTACAAGGGGGGCATATTGAATGTGAGCTTTGAGCCTTTTGCGGC